TAACGTAATTTTTTACAAGTTAAAACATTAAAATTGAATTTTAAGATATAATTATATACATGTTTAGACCAAAAGAGAAGATAAGGAGTTTTTGGTCATTTGACATAAAACTCATCCAGATACAAAATAAAGAATACAAAACGAACATAATTGCATCCAGATATAATTTCTAGACGCATGATCCAAAATTTCCAGAATCACGAACGAACAATATCTGAATGCTGCATCCAATTACTGCGCGTGGATGCTGCGTCTGGAATTCTCATCCAATTCACGAAACGAACAGGTCCTTAACATTCTGAAGATAGAAAATATAAAACTACAGTAATTATTATGTAGGTTATTTTTTCAATCGTTATTTTTTTCTATTTAGTTGAACATTCTATTTCTTCTATTTTTAATCATAAGTTTAATTATACAATATATCATATACATAAACAATATGATTGGAAAATTTGTTTACGAGACTAGCCGCGCGTAGCGCGGCCAAAATATCTAGAAATCTTTACCGAAATTGTTTACCAATAAGTTTTGTTAGCTTCGACCAAAAACCGGTTAAAATTACCTAAAGGCTTTTTTTCCACCCTAACGGAACCGTTGACGGCCCATCCTTTTTTTCCTAGTTCAAGTGCTCTCCTTCCGTTTCTTCTCCATCACCGCTAAATAACGCCGTCTCTGGTACCCCTCTCCCGCTACCCTAGCGCCGTGAACGTAACCCTAACGGCAATGGCTTCCTGTGACGACGATTTCAATCTCCTAGCAGATGACCAATCAAACCCTAACCAACATCACAACCACCACCACCACCACCACCAAGTCCTCCACCACGCGCCCTACGCTCCTCGACGCTTCACCCCAAAGCTCTCGAACCAGATCCACCTCCCTCACCACCAGACTAACGGCAACAACGACGAAGACGACCACCACGCGTCTTCCGCTTTCCACGGCGTGAATCCCTTCTCAACCGCCGACGAGAATTCGAATCCCTACGATAACAACAACAACAACAACGCGGAGCCTGTAGATGGAGAGGACGATCTCGACGCGAACAGATCCAGAATCATCGGAGGCGTTCGTCTGGAGAAGAGGCAGAGTCAGGAGGAGCTCAGCGACGGAGGGACGACGAACGGAGGCGATACGACGCCGTACGGGAGCTTCAAACGGCCGAGGACGTCGTCTTCCTCGGCGGGGGAGTACAGGAAGGATAGGGAGGAGTGGAGCGACGCGGCGATCACTTGTTTGTTGGATGCGTATTCCGATAAGTTCACTCAGCTCAACAGAGGGAATCTGAGAGGGAGGGATTGGGAAGACGTTGCGGCGACGGTTAGTGAGAGGTGTGAGAAGTTGGTTAAGAGTGTGGAACAGTGTAAGAACAAGATTGATAATCTCAAGAAGAGGTATAAGTTAGAGAGGCATAGGATGAGTAGTGGTGGAACGTTAGCTAGTCATTGGCCTTGGTTTAAGAAGATGGAAGAGATTGTTGGTAACTCTATGACTACTAAAGGTGCTTCTGATGAAGATAGAAGTGGGAGTTCGCTGGGGAATGTTGCTAAGCCAGCGAGGAGGTAATGCAAAGACGATGACTTTGGATTGTTGTAGTGTTTATGGAATGAAAGTTTTTTTTTGGTTTTGTGATTTCTTGTTTTAGGTATCCTTTGGTGACATATAACCCTGGAGTTCAGATGAATAATGTTAAGTCCAAGGCTACATCAAATCCTAGATGGCGAAGAGTGGTTTTGAAAATCAGTGGTGCAGCTCTTGCTTGCACTGGTCCTAATAACATTGATCCGAAGGTTTCTTAATTCTTACTGAATTTATAAACTTTTACTGTTGTACTTGTTTTGTCTGAGTCAGACACTAAGTTCTTGTCTTGATTTCGTAGATCGTCGGCCTGATTGCTAAAGAAGTTGCAATGGCTTGTCGTCTTGGTGTAGAGGTAACAACACTCTGGAGCCAGATTGTTATTGTTTTTCTATTGGCCTTTTGTGTAGTTTAATGATGTTGTGTAGCTCTTTTCTTTCAGGTAGCGATAGTTGTTGGGAGTCGGAATTTATTTTGTGGTGGTACATGGTTTACTGCTACTGGTTTGGATAGAACCACTGCTTATCATATCAGGTTTTACATTTTTCTACCTTTATTTGTCGATGATATCAATGTACTGTTGTTCTAGAGCAATGAACGTAGACACTGTAAGAGCATTACATCTGCTTTTATGATGTATCCACTTAGGTTCGTCATGCTTTCAAATTCTCCAAGACATCTATGCACTTAGCAGAGGGTTTTGATTGTATTACTGTATTTATCGACTTGTTATAGATGGGTTTTCATATTAACAAGTCTCTGCTCTATTTTGTTGTCTTTCGTATGTTGACGTTTTAGAAATGTGTTGTTTGGCTCACTAACTCTCTGTTGTGTAACAGTATGATGGCGTCTGTGATGAATTCTGTTTTACTTCAATCATCTCTGGAGAAAATGGGAGTCCAGACACGGTTACAAACTGGAATTGCGGTTCAGGGGATAGGGGAGCCTTACAATCGTCAGCGAGCCACCCGACATCTAGATAAAGGCAGAGTGGTAATATTTGGTGGCATTGGTGCAACGCTTGGCAATCCACTTTTATCATCTGATGCAGCGGCAGCCCTTCGAGCTATAGATAGTAGAACCCCTTCTACTCCATCTTAGAGTTCCTTTTGTTCAATAACCTTAAAAACTAACTGGTCCTGACTTAATATCTCGTGTACACATTACCAGTTAATGCAGAGGCAATGGTGAAAGGAACAAACGTGGAAGGTGTTTATGACTGTCATTCACAAGATAGTAACGTTACATTCGAGCACATAACGTTTCACGATTTGGCTTCTAGAGGTCTTACAACAATGGATACAATGGCCCTTAACTTTTGTGAAGAGAATAACATTCCAGGTTAAATATTTCTTCCTCTTTTTTAGCATCACTTTCCATCCTCATATATTATAGTCAGTAAATGAGTCAGACTGAGATAAATGGTTAAAGATAGTGATGTGCCATGGTAAACATCTAGGTTTTGATTTCACCTTCGCTTAATAGCATGATGGATAGAATCAAAAGCTTTTGAATGTAACGTAACTGATCATCCTTCTCTTATGGGTGTAAAAACAGTTGTGGTATTTAACTTTTTGGAAGCTGGAAACATCACAAAGGCGTTATGCGGAGAACAAGTGGGCACTTTTATCGACAGGACCGGGAGGGGTGTCAGTTAGTAGGAGCCGACATTCACAAATGCTTTTGCTCTGTGATTTTATTTACTCTTTTCTCTTAAAAGTAATTATATTCCATAGATGAAGATGACTAGAAAAAAGAGAATGTGACTCTCTCTTCACGGAGATGCTCTCCATTCACCAGACTTTTTTTACATCTGTTTTCATTGTTTGTGACATCAGGGTTGAGTTAAGTTTAACATGGCCGTTGTATATTATTACTTGTTAGTATCATCTTTATATAAGTTAAGAGTCGTTTCTTCATTTCCCGTCCAGTTAAAAAAACAAGAAGTTGCAAGAAATTTGAGTAATATAAAGGTTATGGAAAAATAAAATATAATCACTGCACTATCTATTAAAGTAAGTTTTTTTTTTTAAATATTCGTTTGCCGCTTAGGAAGATAAAAGCAAAATATAGATTTATTTATTTATTTTTAAAAGCGATGTTTCTCTAATGTACGGGAAAGACAACGAAGGTGCTAGAATCTCTATCCGTTCTTATCCTCACTCACCCTCTATATAAACAGTCTCTCCTCTCATACGCAGAGCAAGTGAAGAAGTGTTGTAATCTGTCTGATTTCATATTCCAAACACAGTTTTAAGAGCCAACAAAAAGGATGCAGACGGTAGCAGTGGACGAAACCAAAAACACAGTTGTGCTACGTGCCGTGCACAAGGACGAGGAAGGTCGCAAAGTCGCCGACAAGATCGAGTTAAAGACACGAAACCCGGAGACGATCAAGCAAGTCGAGAAGAAGCTAATGGAGAAAGGCGTGCAACGTATGGAGAGGCACCCAGCCGACGGGATACCTCTCAAGCACCAGCCGAAGTCCGGTCGCGGTGGGAAGTACACGTGGGAGGGGCCTGATTCGGTGGAGGATTACGAGATGCAGCCTGATCCTCCGGCGATGGACGAAGGTGATCCGAACTACGACGAGGAGAAGACGGAGAAGGATAGTGGTGGTGGTGGTGATGACGTGGCGGTGGAGCTTGTGAAAGGAGAGGTTGAGGTGGCGAAGGAAGCGCCGACAGGTGTGGCTAGGGTCGAGGTTGATCCTCGCTTGATCAGCTCTGGTTGAGTTTAGGAAGAGAAGTGTTGGGGCAAATGTGAGAAAGAATGTGAACTTTGGGGGTTTCGATTTCTAATTTCGAGTTGTGATGTTTTAATGTATTTGCGACGTGGAACCTTATTTGTATAAAAAAAAAAATATCCTCACATGGTTACTTTTTCTCAAGTTCTCATCGATCACCGTAACAGTCCCTTATTTATTTAGTTTTGTTTCTTTCGACCAATATTTATTTAGTTGTTGCTCAACATTTACAAAGTTAAGAATACAATGACAGGGAACATGTGAGTCGAGCTTTCTAGTTACGTCCGGTTAAGTTTGTTCGGTCAAAATATTCCAAGCGACTAATGTCACGTCACTTACGCACGAAATATTCCAGATATCAGACTTCAGACGTGACAAATTGTCACTAGAAAGTAGAAAGTGACCTTTTGTGAGTTGATTTTAGCTGATGTTATACACTCTTTCAGGGAGCATAACGATATCTGGAAAAACATAAGAAAATACAAAATATGCAAGCTGTGGCGTTCGAACCCACGCGCACTTATGTGCAGAAGAACTTAAGTCTTCCCCCTTAACCTCTCGGGCAAACCTGCGATGAAATTTTACAGTTTCCATTGCTTATTTAGTCTATGCGGTTAGTCATACTATTTAGTATTTACACTTGAGAATTGAAAACCTATACAAACTTGATTTTGGGCATATTGTAACATATAAAGCCCACATAAAATACAGTATCAAATTTTCAGCTTTTAGCACAAACGAAATTGGCCCATTCTTGGTTATTTGAGAAAATCGGTACTCAGAGGACTTTTATCATCAGTTCATTAAAATAACAGAGTTCCTGCATCATATAAGTTGGATTCTGATGCTGAAATGAGGAGGCATGGTTCCTTGTATCTGAGAGACTATTGCATTTGTGCTCTTGTGCAAGTTAGGAGGTACAATGTAGTCTGTTGCTCCTCTCTCTCTAGGCCAAAAGAGTTTGGAGGAACCGCATGTGTTTATTGCCCAAGAAGAGGAGTATCATTCCAAGAGTTTAAAGCTGTAGGAAGACCCAACTTTGAGGATGTAAGGTGGCCTTAAGTGCTGGAGACTGGTTTTCTTTAGTAATACTTCATTTTTCTTGCATCACGATTACACTTATCTAAGCCATTTGCAAACTTAAGCTACATACATTCTATGAATATGCTGAACAATACAAAAAACTATATTCATTGATGCGTCGGTTGGGCATGGTCTTTTAGTTAAATTGACAAACTCTAATTTGGTTTTACAGAATACAATATATACATAATACATCATACTGTAAATAGAAAAATACATCTTCACTCTTTTTATTTAACTACTTTAATGTTTGAACTTAATCAAGTAAACTAGTTGTTTCTGTTAACTGTAGTGGTGTCAAAGAGATCCCCAAAGCATTAATATATATTGCTTGTAGTTACTACTCTTTGTGCTTGTAAAGTAGTATACCGAAACATTGAGACACACAGCTGGAATGGAATTGGAATTTTGTGACACATGAATGTCATTGCGGATGCTAATAAATAAAGGTTGCAGAAATATATGATCATTCTTTATTTCTACTTTGATGATGTTTTCTGTCTCCCATTGTAGTATTCAACATCATCATTGATCATTAATGTCCCACTGATGCACCCTCCCTATAATATTTTTTGTATATACTTTTTTTTTGTCAAAGCTCTCACTATAAGAATGAAATACACGTCTATGTTATTTATTTTATTTTTATTTTTTTGTAAACCTAATGTTATTTTATACTTCCTTTGTTCCATAATAAGTGTCATTTTAGACTTCGGAACACGAATTAAAAAAATAATTAATTTTGTATATTTTCTACATAAAAACACAATTACCTATACATCTAACCATATTTTAATCAATAGGAAAATAGATTATAGAATAAGTTAATAAATTTTGCATTGAAAACCGAAAACGACATTTATTTTGTAACAAAAATTTCTTTCTACAACGACACTTATTATGATACGGAGGGAGTATTGCTAAGCAGAATATTAAAACGTGGATGAAATCATTTATATCTAGAATATATTACTCTTTTTTTTATTCTCACTGGAATTTATTGCTAAATTTACATGAACGACGAACATATGAGATAGACGGCTATACTTTGTACGTTTTGTTGCTTTTATAACAAGTCAATAATTTCAAATTTCAACAATGCATAGATCATTTTACCTTAAAGATCATTTGGAGAACAACAAAAATAAATTCAGTTGATCACACAATTTATAGGCCATTTTATTACAAAGTATTCTCTTACTCTTTCTATGTTTCTATTTTCCAGTACAGATTACATAACGTAATTTCCATTTTTAAAGTAGTATTAGTACATTTTATGCTGCAAGAACGTATGAACATTAGTGTAAACCAAACTATAAAGGCACAAACAAGAGAAAGAGGATTCAAAGAAACGAAAGAGTAGTGTTTAGTTACAAACCTGTCTCGAAAAGTATTTTTTTGAAGTTACTTCCTAAAGAACATTATAGATTCTCCAGGAAACCCTAACAGAAGAAGATAATAAAAGTAGTAGTAATATAACACACGACGATTATAAAAATATAAATTACATTCAACCATCACAAAACCTAAACGTAGAGTTAAAACACTCAGAGAATGGTCTCTGGCCCTCCAAGAAGCTTTTTAGTTCTGTCTTGGATTCAAAGTCAGTGTATAGAGTCTATGTTCTTGCTCAGCTCTTCCAGCTTCTTCATTCTCACCTTTTCACTCTCTCCCACCAACTGTAAATCATTCGTTTGGAACACCCGTTAAGTACAAAACAGAGTGAATATATACATAATCAACAAATGTTCAGTTATGCAGACAAATATAATGTAAGAAACAGGCACGAATGTTGAATAACTCATTTTGTATAAGATCGAATGTTGGATCATGGATGAACTAGTTCTGCAAACTAAGATCAACAGATATATCTAGACAACCATTGGTCACAAGATCACACAGGAAAAGGTTAATGTGATGAAAGAAAAAAGCTGAGAACACAGAATCATAAACCAGAGTGGAAGAAAATAACAACTAGAACAGTTGAACCAAGCATTCAAACACAACCTTTAATTATTATATTCGACAAAGAAAATGATTTTAGAATTAGTTGACTGACCTCCATAAGCTTGGTGATAAGCTGCACCTTCTCCCTGTTCTTTTCGTTGAATGCTTCAAGAGCTTCTTTGTACTCTCGTTCCTGCAAGTTGGGTCAACACACCAACCAGATTAGCATCTTAATAATCCTCAACCAGACATATAATGGATTTGGTTATACGGCCTAACCTTTTTCTGAACAGTATGACCCAATGGCTTTAACTCTTTGTTGACAGAATCAATCTTCTTCCTGACCAAAGCAACTTCTTTCCTCATAGGGTCAGCTAAACCTTCAAGTTCCTAAATATACAATTCAACCATTAATCATCAGCAAATGGTTGTTTTCATAAAAAGGAAAGATCTTTGATCCACAAAAACTCATTTTTACCAAATGGGTTTAACACTTAAGTGTTACAAATTTAGAAAACACCCACAAAAGTCCAAATCTTTTCTTATAAATCACACAAAACCCTAAAAAAAACAAGAAAAAAGTTAATTTTGTTCAATGTAAATGTCAGATCTTGAAAAAATTTAATACTTAGGGTCCTACAATCTCCCCCTAACCATGAATTAAAACCACTGTATATAACCCCCAAAATGCTCAATTTTGTATCTAAGTAAAATAAACAATAATTGAAAGCACAATTCTCAAAAAAAAAAAAAAAATTAAAAAGATTTAAGACACAAACAATACCTCACGGATCAAAGCAAGACGTTTGGTCTCTTCTTCAACACGACCAAGCTGAGCTTGAACCCTTTCCCTAATCTCCATCTTCTTCTTCTCGATCTCCTCTTCTTTCGCCCTGAAAGCAGACAAAGCCGTCCTCGACATCTCTTCATCTTCCTTCGACATTTGGCTGCTGAAACTCATGCTTCCCGACAGCTGAGCTCCTAACTGTCGGCTATGCACAACCGCCGGAGGAGGAGGAGCCACCGTCGTCGGCTGCGACGTCTCTATTGCCTGCATCTCCTTCATCTTCACTCTTAAAATAAAAGAAACACCTTTAGCTCGATCTCTCTCTGGTTCTAGGTTGTTCTGTGGTAAAGAAAAAATAAAGATACTGAGAGCTGAACCCAGAAATAGTGTTGTGATATGAACATATATATAAAAAGATAATACACAATAAAAATGATATAAGGGTAACTTTATAAAAAATTAAATAATATTTAAAACGTTATAATAAAAAGAAGAGGTATTAGGTGAAATTACCTAACTACCACCAACAACCGATATGCATAAAAGGAGTTTTGATTTTTGATTTATTTTAGATTCGATTTTGGCTTTGTGAAAATTAAAAAAATTAAAAGGTATAAATAAAATAATTTAAAAAAGCGAGGAGAATCTGATTTGTAACCGTTAATGTTCAGACTTTCTATGACAACCGTTGGATCTTTTGATCCAACGAAGGAAGAAAAATGGGTGACGCGTAGAAACCGGAGGAGACAGCTCGTTACAACTCAGCTGTTGTGTCTTAAACCGTATATACCGAACCAGAACTTAACCAGTTTGTTTAGTATACCTTTGTTGTGTAATCTTTTCACTAAACTCGTTTATTCAAAAAAAAAAACTACAACTATAATTTTACTGCGAACGCAAAATAACAATTATACTAATTGTGGTCAAACTTACCGAAATGGAAAATCAAATGGGATTTTTTACGTGTATGATAAAGTTAAATGCGTTTTGGTCAACTTCAAGTACTCATTAATTCTTATGTTAATTATTTTGCTATACTATTAGCAAAAAAAAAAAAAAAAAAAAGAGAGAAGAAACGTAATTGCGAAGGCAAAGGGTATAGCAGCCAACGGCTTCAACTACGGGCCTTCGAAGCAAGAATCCTTCTTTAAATTTCTTTTTTATCCACTCTTTTTCTTTTCGTTAATGGAATTTTACTTTATTTCAATGTCTACTACAAACTATATTCCGCTAAGCTATAGCCATCATCTCAAGATATATAATAGTCACATTTGTTTTAATGGTGGGGTTTTCCATCTTGTCCTCATTAGGAAATTTGAAATTTGTTTGTTCCACAAATTAATATGAAAGTGTATTACTTAGTAAATAGTTTAATTTCCAT